TTTAACCAGCCAAGTATTATATTCTCCAAGTGACTCTGAACTCTGAAAGTAACTTGCCGTGAATTAATCAATTACATCAGTTAATATTGTTTCGGTTAATGGATATTCTCTGTGAAAAGAAGCTGATGTTTTTGGCTGATTGATTTTTGATGCAAATAGATAAAATGCTTCATCTCATGATGTAGTCAAATTAATACGTAAAATGTGAAAGTTGAGAATTAATTTTGAAGGCAAACGATTAATTGTATTCGTAATAGCTGTTGTTTCGTTGTTAGAAAAAGAAAATATCTTTCACTTTCCAAATTCAGTATTTTATTTATTGATTAGTGAAGATAAGATAAGTGTATTGGTGACATTGTTTCACAGGAAACTATCAACTATGGTTAAAAGAAATAATTTTATGATAATATCATACTCATTTAGTAAGTGTCGCTTTGGTTTCATGCATAGTAACATGGTCGTATCTGGTGTAATAATTACGCAACCCACGTGCTCATGCTGTGTTAAACACATTTCCATTCAGTTTTCATAATACTGTAATTTCATTCCTATTATCTTTCGTAATATACAGGGTTCGTTATTTTATGCATTCTTTGTCGACTTAATTCTCATACTTTTGATATTACTGCTGATAATGCCAAGAGTTTTTGCATATATGAAAAATAAAATGTACGAAAATTGAAAAGTTGTAAAATCAGAAATCGAAACAAAAATTCCTAGTTACATGATAGGATCATAGGAAAGTCCAAGAGAGATTAAGAAACGATTCGATCAACGTTCCTCGTCGATTAAAAATATTACGTGTCTCATTCCGTTGTTATAAAAGGATGTGCATCCGTGAGCACAAGACAGTTGTGCCGTTTGCGTGCAGCTTGCTGTTTACAAAGTCATTGTACCCGGAGTGCACAGATCGCCATTACATATGCACGTTGCATTAAGGCAGGTCGTTGATGCACGTCAAGGAAGCACTTTCGCGCAAGGAACAACTCCCTGCCGATTTCACTGTTTCTACGGTGATTGGTCGAAAGCGAAAATTTCTCAAATTGTCGACGCTCGTGCTCGAATGTCGAGCAACGTCGTTAATAATATGATTGTACGATGATTCGCAGCTATGCTACTTTCTACGTTTCGTTTTAAATGATTTTCTACGCGGAGAGAGATATTTCGCTTAATAACGAACTTTCACACTTTGACAGAAATCAACGAAATAATATTTATTATAAGTTCTGAACGTCTGGTGTATTTATCATTGTGTAAGTTTCTGTCTGTTGAGTTTCGTCGAGTTTTAAAATACGAATGTTGTTACGTGTCTGGATTGGGTAGACGTTTAGTGATACAAATAGTTTTAACTAAATGTATTAATATTTTAATGATAATGTAAATAAATAAATTAATGAATTTCTAATTAACATAAATATATACGTAATATAATGTCTTGATAAATTTTCTTCCATTATGTAATTTCACTTCCATACGTCTTTTATCATTGAACGATGAAAAAGTTTCTTAAAGATGTAAAAAAAACTGTTATTGATGTAGGCAACTTCTTATTTTAATTTCATGCTGAATATTTTTCTAAAACATTAAAAGTCCTCGCCTGGAGACACAGATAATTGAGGCTAGGAGCAAGATTAATTCTAGCTTGTGTAAAATGCAAACATGTATGATGCATAAAACGAACGTTAATTTTGAGATAGAAATAAATAAGAAGTATGAAACTTTCAATCGAAACATCAGAGTTACATGCAAATAGCGGTCACACGTGCGACCGTCCTTTGAAAAAAGGTCTTAACTATGTGACTCGGGTGAACAAAAAGGGATGATTGATCGCGCCGCTATTTACGTCGGGTAACTCGATCATTAAAATTGCTTGCCAACCTTCCATTTTCTTTTTTATTGTCCAACATTTAAATAATTCACACGCAAAAATTATTCGCCGTTCGATGAGTACAAATCACCAATTAATTCTATCGTTTTCGAGGACAGCTTCGAACCATTTTGATTTTGTTCCAGTTCTCTTAGTGCGTTTCACTCTTCGAACAGTGAAAAAGTAGTGTATCAAAAGATCTCCATTTAACGACAGTCACAAAAATGCACGATATCTATAATATCTAATGATGAAGAACAAAAAGAAGAGTGATGAAGAAATAAGAAGAAGAATTGGGAAGAATTTTATCTTTTGGCTTTTATGTCACTCGGTTTATTGGAGAAGAGAATAATAATTTTGAAAGTTGGAATCTTTCAATTTTAATTCTCAATTGATAATAACAGTTGGCTTTAACAACGAGAGGTCTGGCTGATAGGAATGAAACATATCGAAAATTTTTCAGAGAAAGAAATGTAAAAAATTTCAAATTACTCCCTGACTTTGAATCTATTCACGACTCGTAGGTAGCTCAGTCGTTATTCCCTCGACTGAGCTAAAAGATGACTATTCCTCGATATTCTTTCAACGATATTCAGAAACACGAGATGGTTGCCTTTTCAAGGCTAAAACGAGTTAATCTGCATCGCGGCACTGTGTAATTTTACATCTTGCGCTTCCTGCGTTCGTTGCTTTGTCCGATACGTTATTACCACCGATTACCCAAAGAATTCAACTTCGAGTAACGAGATTCAATCCGATGCGACTATTATATGTAGCTATTAATATTTATAGGTCTTTGTTCATAGTAGCGTCTCTTTGCCGGATTTTTGTTTGTGCTGTCGACGTGGACAGACTAATGACTTCAAGCGTCTTCTAAGGTCTATTAACGTTGTAAATTCTATTTTATTACCATTTGTCCAATATCCCAAAAGTGACATAGTTATAATAAATATTTATTTTTGTATTTATGTTTCAAAGAGATTTACAGCTGTTAAAGGAATTTTGACAAATATCCTCGTCCACGATTTATGGAATACGGATTTTTATGGGAAATTTCAAGACGGATATTTATTTATAGGAAATTTCAAGACCCAGAAACGCACACATGCACAAGTATACAAAATATGCAAGAATACCTGAAATATTCAAGTATAACAAGAGATAAATTTTCTATCGAGGTTTTATTATTTTAACTATAAACTATTTTTTTATTTAATCTAATATATCATCTGACGTCAAACTGAAACGAACGACGAAGAATGAAAAGATAAATAATTAAATTTATATATGTATATATATATATATATATCAACCAATATCAACAAATATGAAATTTCCAGCTGGTTATTTACTATTTTTATAATATAAAATGATTCGACTTCATTTTCTAAATGAATTTCTACTCGGTATGGTATTATATTTACCCAAATAATATTTCTAGGAATAATACGTAGAATATATATCTGATAGTCCATTATTGCACAAGTCTTTGTCTTCCAGAAAATCAATTTCGAAAGCTCGAGGAACATGCGCGTATTTCATTAAAATTTAATTAAATGGACTTTACTACAAAATTCTGTACATAATACATTCGCGCAATTAAAATGAACAGTCGTGCATCTCATTTTCCGTCTGACCGTCTACCTTATGGTCCCTGCATGGAATTATTCTTTTACTTTAAAATTAATAGCTACTCTGCATTTTGGTTAATTTAAATGTACCAATGGAGAAATTATTTGAGGAAATGTTAAAATTACGTCGCGAAGTATGCATCGATATTGTATACATTTCACAATTATTATGGATAATAAATGTTTATAACTACGGTAGAATAATATTTAATAAATACCGAAACAAAAAGAAACGGTGTAAAAAGGTACAAAGTCGGTCAGTGAATCATATTAGTTCTACCTTTCTTCTTTGAGCGATCATAGAAACGCATACGTCAATCAAGGAACAATGAATCATGAATTACGAAATGCTGCACGTACACAATGCATAATGGAAACATTCTGCAAGGATTAATGTCGCAGGGTGAATCTTTAAAAATTTCACTGAAAATTTTATTTCTTTGCACAGCAGCGAAAGTATAAAATTAATTCCAATATTGGACATGTTTTAGTATGATTATTGAACGGATGGACAAATGGCAAATACGGATTGAAATTTTGCTGCGTTATTGTGTACAAAGCTGCAGGCAATTTGCTGCTATATTAGTATGTAATACTATTGCGCGATTAAATAAAAACAGAATTGGAACATTAATAAAACATCTGATTACAATTTTCTAATGCGAGTAACGTTAACTAAATTGAAGTTAAGAGCAAATATTAATCATATCGAACACAATGAATTAATTTACCATGATGAATTTAATCCCGCTTCTTGTTTTTTCCGAGTCATTTTCGCTGTCGCCAGGAATTTTTTAAAAAACACGAAAGAATCTAATGAAATTCATAAATTGTGATTTCAATTTTACGTGGCATTTCTCTCTTCAAACGTAGAAATTCCTTTGTTTATTGAAAGCAAGGTAGAAAGTATAAAAGGCAGTATTAAAATAAAAGCGACATTAAATTATAAATAAAATAAACAAGACCGTTTTCAATTTTTCCACCCATTGTTTATAATCTCAACCGACCGAGTTGCACAGGTCAGAGAGTTACAGCGTATTAATCAAAATTCTCATTATCCTTGCAGACTTTCGTACTAACGAAACGGATTAACCAGCAGGCTGCATAAATCAAAACCTGCGATCATTTCTACCGTCGTCGTCGCGGTGAAAATCTAATCCGCCGTTCGAACAGGTAAAAGCGTGCATTAATCGGCGTTTTTATTGCTCGCGGTGGCTTTCACGAGGGTCACACCAGATAGAAATGAAAATTTTTCAGCCGCGGATCTCGCGAGAGACGCGTTTTCCAATCCCCGGCAGACAATGAGCTCTGTCGCATTTCTGCACAAGTGAAATCGCAGAGGAGGCCCACGAGGTGGAATTGAAAATCCGTAAAGAACGAGCGAGAAGCGTGTAACACATACACAGCCACGTATCCAGAGTGGGGAGCGCCAGCTGATTGGTCTCTCTCTCTCTCTCTTTCTCTCGGTGAAACTGTCTCGTCGTTTGCCGCACGCCGTTGCTTTGACAGTATTATATCAACCTCCGGCAGCGCGTAGTCGTGTTGTGCTCGCCTTCGTTTATAAATCTCGCTTCTAAAACTCCGAAAGAAAGAGGAACTTCCATTCAGAGTTTTTCGCGACGAATGGTGATTCGCATACAGGGATCTACGTGCGTGGGAGTCCCTTTACGACAGTTTCGAACAGTTTTGAAGGACAAAAAGAAGAAATAATCGAGTGAATAAAGGCAGAAGAGACCAGAAGGAGGGAAGAATTGGAGAAACATTAGTTCTGTTAGTATTTTAGTTCTCAATTTTTTCTTTTCTTTCTCAAAAGAACTTGTTAAAAATTCCCCCCACCCCAAAAAAACGTACCGGCAAGATAAAACAAAAAGCTGCCGCGACGACAGACACGAGGGAATCATTATATTGAGACGTTCCGCGAATTTGTGTTGCGTGTTTTGTGAGTGATAAACGCTTATCGTCGCGCGGCAACTGGAGACTTTTCGCGTCAGCATCAGAGCACAGATCGTTCTCCTTTTCAAAAAAGCTTCACCTTTGCCGCCTAAGTTTGAAGAGGGTTGCTTCTTCCTGGATAACCGGAAGTGGCTATTAAACGACAAAGGTAGAACAATGTCGACACTCGAGAACATCTTCTTTTGAAGCTTTACTCTCTTTCTTTCNCTCTCTCTCTCTCTCTCTCTCTCTCTCTCTCTCTCTCTCTCTCTCTCTCTCTCTCTCTCTCTCTCTCTCTCTTTCTCTTACGAATCTTCAAGATAATAATTCGAGCCTGTTGAGTCATGCTGTGCCTCCTTGCGCTTCGTTCAAAGGTAAATAAACTTTTTTTTATCTCTTTTTTTTTTTTTTTTGCTTCGTTACACATCTGGATATAGGAGTTGTGCAGCTTTCGCGTGGATTCCTCGTTGCGAAACGCGCACCTCGCCAACGATCATTACGTGCGGATTGAAGAAATTGCTGCAAATTGCGATAATCGTCGCGGATAATACCAGGGATTCGTCAAAGAAACCGTTTTCCAGAGCGTGACCAGTGTTTTTATACCTATTGTCGTATTTGTTCCGCGGTTCTTTCGTGCTTGGATTTTTGTACTTGAGACAGGATTTTAGAAAATATCGAAAATATTAGACTCATTACAGTTTAATTAATTAATTCCGTCAAATTTTGGATCTAAAATAGGAATTTTAAAAAGATTATACATCGCAACCAGAATATTTTTAAAAAGCCGGATATTTAATTTAGGAAGGATATTAAATTATTGTCGGAGTTTTCAAAAATGGAGTATTTCATTTAGAAAATGAATAAAAATATAATTATAGGGATTTTTGGAAAAGAATTATGATTCTTTTCAATTAAAAAAGATCTTATCAATTGCTATTGATGGCCGATATTAATTAGATAGATACATTGATCAAAGGGAATATAATTAAAATATAACTCCACAGTTAGAGCGAAATAGTAGGATCGAAACAATTAAAGATTTAACGAGAAATGTTGTATGGAGGAGAACGATACTAAAATTTTATCAAGGACCAACATATAACAACACGTCGAATAAAACGTGCAACGATGCAAATGAATATTTTAATAAACGTGGCTCGGTCTTTTTCAATTGCAGGACGTCTTTATTACAAGTTTCTTTTGTCAAAATAAAATATTTCACCTCGTTAAATAAATAATATCGCATATGTATAGTATACGAAATTCAGATAAACTTGTTTGAATAATATTCATCGAGTTGAGTCAAGTTATAGCTACAATTTCATTTCTTCAGCAAATAAATTTGAGATTTAATTAAATTAAAAATTAAATGAAGACTATACCAAATTACCAATACAAATTATACTTTATTACATGTTTGGATTGATACTGCAGCCTGAGATAATATCTGATCGATAATTTTGTCTTCGCTATTGCACGTTTAAAAGAAATTACGAATAATCGTATATAAGTGTATCGTTTATAGAGATTATTACATATTATATCTAATGTACGAGAGCAAGATGAGATAAACGTAATACGATTGAACATAATAACCTACAAAACGTGACTCTTTATTAAATTATGAACCTGATCTTAACTATGTTAAAGTAGCAGCAGATCAGATACATGAATCATTTAATTTCGCTTAAATTCTCCAATAAAACACATTAAAAATAAAACACCATATTACTATATTGACAATTAACATTTCAAACGATTGCTCCAATATTTTGGAGTAGGTACTGACTAATAAACTGCAATATTTTTCAATTTCATTCAAAGACCATCAAACTATATTTAATAATTTGACCCAAAATAAAATAAAAATTATCACTGAATACAGAAATCGAATTTCCAAGGCGTATGTAATTCCCTCGTAAATATTTCGCAAATGCTATCCGATCACGCGACTGAGAAGGCATTACCAATCGATTTTCTAGCGCGAGATTCAATGAAAAGCGCTGGTTTGTTTTTGTTTTTGTTTTTTTTTTTTTTTTTCACTAAATTATATAGGTATGTGTATATGTATATATGGATTATTCTGTCGTTCGGAGTACTCTTGTATCACGTGTACGATTCATTTCCGCGTGGAAGTCAAGTGCGTATCAGGCCTCTCGAAGAGACGAGGATGGAGTCATTCGAACCGAAAGAGAAAGAGAGAGACAGAGAGACGGATCAAGAGACTTAGAGAGAAAGGGAAAGAGAGAAAAATCTCTACGCCAGATGCACACGCGGGCGCTGTTTTCACGTTGAAAAACTTTTTATCGACCGGACAAAGGAAATCACGAAACTCGTGGCCAACGTATTATAATAAATTCGCATATTTGCACGGCGACTTAATTTCATACTTTTTCGTGATAATTTTTCTCTTACCGTTCCCTGCAGAACGTCTTTCAAGATTAGAGATGGGATCGAGTATCTCACAAACAGGTTCGAGAGTTTAAACTGTTGGAATCGCTGGTCATTATGAAATGTTACAAGTTGTTCCCATTGTTTTTCCATCCTTCTTTCATTTTACTAACATCGTTTCAAACCGCAGCTTATCCTGATAGTTAACAAGGAAAACAAAACTGAAGAACGTCTTTTATTTCAGGGAATCCCTCAATATTGAGAGGTTTTGTCGTCTTAACGAAACACGTGCGTAATTTTCAAATGTTTCACGCTTATAAGAAATTTCAACTTTTGAATGCTCAAACATCATTCACTATACGTGTGTACATGTAAGAACTGAAAAGAAGCAACTATTTCTAACAAAGCACGCATGTACAATACGAGCAGTATCTATTTTTTTTTTTTTTTTACATCCCATCTTTGGATTCAGTCTTACAACCATCGAGCTGCTTATGAAGCACTCATTCCACGATTCGAAATTAGTATAAAATGAACATGTAAATTACAAGTGCATTCATTGAGAAATCTTCTACTTTCGATTCTAACTTGGTTCGGATTTATAAGTACGCATTGGACTTGACTCCCATCTCTAATTTTAAGACAGTCTAGGAAATTTCAGCGCGCACGCGTGTGCTTTCCTTTCTCTCCCAGAACAGATTATCGTTAATTATTCTTAATTGCGAGCAGACTCGCTTAATTTCTACTTTTTCCGTATCATTTAGAACGTTCAACGCATTTACTTTGCCCATCGTTCTTCTCCTCTCGTTACTATTTCGCTCGTTTCCCTGTCTGTTCGTTTCTCTCGCGTGCGCCTCCTTTGAAATTCCGTTTTTGTTTGTCCGCCGGAAGACGGAAGCGTGCACCGAAGATTCGTCGCGTTTCTGTGCGCTGTTATTTCCGACCGTCTGCGGAATTTTTTATTTCCATCATTCGTCGAACTCGTTGTCGTTAAATGCTCTTAATTGGGAATCCGTTCACGCGCTAACACCTTTCCTCGTGAATACTGTTCGGAACGTTCGATCGCTCCTTATTCGTTCGCGCTTTGTTTGATATTTTCGTTGTTTCGTTGGTAAATTCGTATTCTATGGATAATTAAAAAAAAAAAAAAAATTTACGCGAAAAATTACTATTTGGCTTGGTTTCTCTTTTCAATTTTCTGCGTATAGATGAAAATTGTTTTTCGTAGCGAATAAATGAAATTATTCTTTAAAAACTGGACAGACTGTTTTTATTCCCTGGGGCAGTATTTTTAATTCACTATGTGCAAATAAATGAAAATTATTTTTCGTAGTGAATAACAGGATTAACTTTGTTTTACCGATGAACGAGTGACGAATATATTTTTATGAAACTTTCAATCTCATAGTTATCAGATAAACGATAACAATCTGCCATTGTATCCATAACACAGTCCATTTCATATTATTTATCACGCGCAGTCGCCACAAAAGAGAAATGAAACAAACGTTCACGAAGTTATGCGAATGAAATTCATTGCAACGTATGTACTTATCATTCCTGGATGCGAAATTTCACTTAGTTTGATTAACGTTTCGTAATAATGTTTCAACAACACGCTTGAACGCGTGGTTGCATCCTCTAAACGATAAAACGCAGAATTTACGAACAGCTTTGAGCAATCTTTTCCATGAAAATAATCGTAACTCGCTCTTTCTATATTCGAGAGATTGCTTAATACTGCCATAATTACGGTACTCGATACATTGCAGAAAGGCGTTGCGAAAGAACGTAGCAGGAGCAAAAAAGGCGATGAAAGCAGTCTCGCACTTAACCGCAGAATCGCGCGCCATAAAATACAAACTTCGTATAGGATACTTTTTTCCATCAACGAGCACGGAACGAGGAGATCGATGGGTGAGAAGAGGGTCTTCGTCCCTTTTTCATTGCGTCCTTTATGAATTTATAGGCAACGATACGTTATCAGATTATCGAGTAACGTTACTTGGAATCAGGCCGGTTCTATCTGTCCTATTTGTCGATCAATTAACAAGTAGGTCGTCCGTTCGTTTGTGGGAATCAAAAATGGGAAACCATAACTATTCACAAAGAAATTCAGTGATCTACTGATTGCATTTTCTTCCAAATTTAATTTAACTTGACGTTCGTTTGATGGAATGGGGTTAATTTTTCCAAGGATCTATATATGTGTTTCTGTTAAATTTCAAGGTTCGAAAATGCGCAGAGTAATTAATAGAAATATCCAAAATATCGAAAATATGTTAATTGCTGTAGAACGTAACATCTAGCAGCTTAAAGCTAATTTTTCGAATAATCAATCTTGCATAATATACAATATATATTATGAGACATTAGACTAGATTCGTTTCTTTGATTCTAATCATAAACATGTGAACATAATGATTTCCCTATCAATTTCTATAAATTGAATATGGGCATAAGAAGGAAGATATAGAACTTAAACTTAAAAAGAAAAATTGATTAATTCCAAGAATTATCTAAACATTTCTTTATCATTATTCCTTCTACCTAGAATCTATAATTTAAAAAAGTATTCATAATATTATGATAAACTAAATGCTTGCTTCTCAATGACTTAAATTTAAGACATGATGATACGTCATTACACCGATTGTGTTACATTTTTCTGCACAATCATTAGGTTAATCATACCTCGTGCTTAATTTTCAAGCATGAGTGCCTTAGAAGGAACTATGGTCATTTGTTGCCAGTAAAATCTCACTCATAGATTCTGATTAAATCACGTGATTCAATGTCATGATTGGAAAAATTCAATCCTTTCTAGAAACAAGTTATACTGTAAAGTTTGTATAGTATACGTTGATCTATGTATGTACACATATCGAGCACACAGCTGTTGAGATCCAAAATGGAATATTCTTGAAATATTTATCGGTCGAGTAACGGAACTGGAGAACAGTAAACCGCACCGAGTACAAAG